ACGAACAAGTAGGGAGACAAAGGATCTCCTTGTCCGAGTATGAAACAGTTTTCGCACAAGCCATGATCCATCGAACAAACATAATTGGGAATTGCAGACAATTTAGTATTTGCTCAAGATAGGGCCATTCCACAGAGTCATACGCCTTCCTCTTGTCAATCTTCAACATACACCTAGCAGCAATACCCTTCCTACTGTACCCCTTCACAAGCTCATGACTTAAAATGATGTTATCAGAAATCACCCTTAACGGTACAAAAGCTGACTGACTCTGATCTACCAGGCTATTCATGACATTTTGCATTCTTCTAATTAAGACCTTAGATATCAAATTGTACAACATAAGATAGGCCTAAATTCAACAATTCTAGATGGATTGGCAACTTTAGGGATTAAAGTAATAGTTGTGCAATTAAAAAGGTTTGAACATTTCACCAAGAATTGCAAAATTGCTTTAGTTACCTCATTTCCAATTATGGGCCAAGCTTTCTTTAAGAACAAAGCATTAAACCCATCTCATCCAGGAGCCCTCTGATCATCGATACTCAAAAGTGCTGCGTGAATTTCCTCCTTAGCAATAGGTACAATTAGAGCTTGTTGTTGCACTCTATTAAGGCAATTGCCTCTCCTCATAGTTGGAATATCCACAACAAGTATTTGCACAGCAGCTGACCCCAACAATCCAACATAGAACTCCTTAATTTCCTTCTCAATATCCACAGTTTTCAGGACTATATTCCCTTGTGCAGTAGAAAAATGCTTTATTCTATTTTGTGCTTGTCTACTCTTAAGATTAGCATAGAAATAAGCAGTGTTTCCATCTCCCAGTTGCAACCATTTAGTTCTAGATTTCTATTTGACTATGCTCTCCTCCACCCCACTCCATCTTTCTAGGTCCTTTTCAGGTCTCTTTCAATAGTAAATAACTCACTAGCATGTTGTTGATCTCGCATCAGCTTTGAGTGATTGTCAACCTCTGTCGACACTCTTGAATTTTAGCTCCCACACTATTGAATTCCTGAGTATTCAGCTGCTTCAATTTAATTCTAGTAATCTTCAGCTTTTGCCACACTGACTCCATATACTTCCTTCTCGACCGTGTGGCACATGTTTGATGTACTAGGGGCATGAAATCCTGATGAGCACTTAGACAATTCAAAAATCTAAATGGTTTAGTCCTCTGTACTTCTTCTGTAAAGTGAACACTGAGAGGTGTATGATCGTAGCACCCCGGGTCCATAACCATAACTTCATTATGATCCAGCCTGAGTGTCCAAGCTGCATTCACCAATGCTCGATCAATCGTGCTATACACATGGCCGTTGGTCCAGGTGAACCATCTCCCTATACCCTTTAATTCAATCATGCCAGCAGTAAGGATGTATTTATTAAAATCATGGACCTCATTCTCATGCACAGGGTTCCCTGAAGCTCTATCTTCCAAACATGTCACCAGTGGCGGATCCAGGATTTAGAGTCCGTGGGTGCCAAATAGACTTATCGATTAAATTAATTTTATATTTGATTGAATTATTCGTCTTTTCGATATATATCATAAATCAATCAATAAAATATAAATAATAAGATATTACACTTTTATTGAGTATTTAATCAAATAAAAGAAAAGTCAAAGGAGTAATAATGTAATTAATTTAATTTAAGTCAATAACAATTATAAAAAAAATAAAAAATTGTGCCATCTGTTTTTCCTTAAAAAAACATGCTTGGAGCCTTTTTTTTTCTTAAAAAACGTATGCAGCAAATTTCTCAAAAAAATAGGTACAAATGGGATTCGAACCCGCAACATCAGCCTTCTAAAGTTGCCCTCCTACCGTGGCACCACAAACCAGTTTTGTTCTGTGGGTGACACACTTTATATTTATATAAATATTATATATATATATACCTATGTATATATAGAGTTTCCGTCGAAATTCGGGGGTGGCGTGGCACCCCCACAGCCCTTCATAGATCCGCCACTGCATTAAAGTCACCAAACACCAACCAAGGATCTAGTATTGTAGTATTTAGAATCAATAGTTCTTCCCATAAGCCTCTTCTATCATCAACTGTATGCAACCCATAAACAGCTGTCAGCAACAAACATTGGTTCAAACTAGTAATGGTGACAACCCAATGAATTATCTGAGCACTCATCCCCACCAGATCAAATTCAACTTTGTAATGGTCCCATAATACCCATATTCTACCTTTGTCACTGTATGTATTATAATTTGCACACCAACTCCAACCAGGAGCTTTTTTATTTATAATGCTACCTACCATCATGTTTTTTTACATGACATTGATTAAATCATAATTCTTTCTTGAATTGCATCTTTTTTACATGACATTGATTATATTTTGTTAATATTCATTTTAGTATTTTTAATACAATCTAAGAATATATATTAATACATATATATTTTATTAACCAATGACTTTGGTCCACGATCTTGAGCCCACGGTTGAACCCATTATATTATGTAAATGTAATTTATTTTCTATATAAGTATTATTTAACCACAAAAAGTAGTGAGGATTTTTTTCTTCCAAATTTGTGATGGGAAAACCCTAAAAAACTCTCTTCCATTTTTTCTAATCCTCTCTAGCCGCTCAAGGCTGAAACAAAAAGCCAGCCATGAGCTTCCATCTTCCAGCTCCTCTTTTACAGTTCTCCGCCAGAAACCACCACCAAAATAGCCATTTTAGCTCCGAGCTCCGGTGAGCTTGTGAGAAACCAACCAAACAGCCACCAAGTGTCTTTATAGGTACCCAAAGTTGCATCTCAAAAAAACTTAGAAAGATATTTAAATATTATTTTTATATATATATTGTTAACGTTAGGCAAACATTATATCGTTTCTCATACGATTACATTATTTTATTCTTTGTGTATATTGCATGTTTATTTTTAATTGTATATTATTTTGTCTCCTCCTCAATTTGTAAAAATGAATTCAGCTGGAGCCACATTTGTGGATTTTGAAGGGTGTTAATACCTTCCATTTGAGATCACTTGAACCCTTATCTAAATTCTATTGGTTTCGTATACTTTTGTTTTTGTTAGCTAATTAATTAGTCCTAGTTTTTCCTAAAATTAGGTGATGATTCCTTAGATTTTTTTTCTTATTTTTTTTTAAATTTAATTTAATTGATTATATTTTGAGTTACCACGATGTTTCACCTTATTTGAATAAAGTAGGGATGTAAGCAAGGCGCTCAATTTTTTTCATCATATATACTTTTATTTAAAATTTACTTTTTTAGTTTATTCTAAATGAGAAGTAATTACTTACTGTGTTATAATCAATCTGCTTTAATAATTCTTTTTCAGTTGATAATATAACTAATCCATTCAATCTCTCTTGAGACATTTTTTTTTATCTTAAATAAGATTTAATCAATTTTAGTTTCGAAAAACTTCTTTTGGTTGAGACAACAATTACATGAGCTATTAACATTATGTGTATTTGAAAAAGAATCAAGTTTTTTATTTGATGAAGTATTTTCATTGTATTATTTCTTTTAACACTTTTAATTTAAAAAATAATTCTAAACCATTAATTAAACAAATAAACAAAGAAACTACTAAAATATGACTAACAACTAATCCAGGAATCCTCGAATGAGGAGGACTCACCAATTGCTGAGTGAAACTACTGCAACATCACTACCCAGGAGTTTAAGTATACGGACGCCGGAATCTACATCATAAAAAGGATGCAGCACAGGGAAAACTATGTGTCATTACGTGAGTAAATAAGGGGCACTAGCATATATATAATTGTAAAACTGACATAACAAGGATAAGGTTCCTAAAATCATATACCTAGTGAAAGAACATAAGAGAAAGCAATTGGAGTTCTTGTCTGAATACCATTCACAATCTTCTTTTAAAAGCATATATAAAGATGAGTCTATTTCAGTAGCCTTACATTATCATAGTTGTAAAGTCAATCAAATAAAGTTAAGAGCATATCCTAAAAAGTTGATTGACTCTCGAAATTTCAAACATACTCTTATACCTAGTTATGTTAATAAGGGTCAATTTATTGCTTTAGAATGCAACAAATCAAGGAGTAAGAGCATAAAATTATATTAGTGGTACAAGCAATTAATTGTACACCAAATGAATTAAAACAAGGTTAAATGAAAGGTCATCTGGTTGTTGGTTAGAGTAATATAGGTATTAATAACGTATAGTTTATTTATATAAGTATTAGTTATATAAATTTAGTTACGTAGGATTTAGTTATTTTTATATTAGTTATTCTAGTAACTTTTTACATAAGTTTTCTTTCATGAACATGTATTTAGTTATATGGAAAGAAAAGACATGAACTAGATATTGTGTTAGCCATGTTATTATACTTTATGTGGAAAGAAAAAGAGTCGAGACCAACCAAATATGTTACAACTTATGCTAGATTTTATGTGGAGATTTTTTTTTTTTTCATTTTATAAGTAAGCAACGTATTAGCGTTTGGTTTGAGGAATTTTTTTTTCATGTTTGATTGATTAAAATATTTTGAAAAATAATTTTTAAGAATATAAGTTTCTTAAAAAAATGAGAAAAGTAACTTTTCTAATGGAAGGAAGGAAACGTGTTCTATATGTGATATTCCAATTAATTCACCATCTCTTTCCCATTCATCCAACTCACCCAACTCCATTCCTCTCTATAGTATTTTGCTAAATTATATATAAATGTTTTTGAATAATATCTTCTACTTAACAAACCCACGTATTTTCGAGGAAATTAGTACCAAACACACTGTAATTGGGGTAGTTTGGTACGGGGATGAGATAGACAAAGTTATCTTAGCATGCTGTTTCTGTCGCAGTATAGCAACAAAGGGTAACATAAATCAGATAGAGGCTCTTGCTACTTAAACAGAGAGAAATATCGAATTTTGTACAAAAATTCTACATGTTGAACAAAGGAGCTAAATAATGAGTCCATAATATAATCACACACAGCTTTTTTTCATGTCCAGGTAATATCAACATACTCTGTTGCCAACAGTTTGGTACAAAGACCTAAGTTGTGTGTTCCATTTGTTGATGGCAGCGTATTTCTTCATTCCTTTCGATCTGCATGAATAAAAGCATGGAAAACAAATTAGAAATAGTTTCAGCCAAAAACAACCAAATTATCACAATGTTGAGGTCAGGGTTTCACCTATCTCCACATTCTAGCAACCGGTTCACTTGATCAATGTGCCCATGGATACGGTTGTCCAAGATGAGTGAGACCAACAACTCCTCGACGTCTTTTTCTGGCACATTAAGCTCCTGCATGTTAAGTAATAGAAACCAATTAGGAAGTCTATTACTTATGCGAACCATGGAGAATATGTCTGGATATTATGTGGATGTTCCAAATTCAAATATGTTATATGGTAAAGTGATATGCCACCATTATGCCATCTATAAAACAGTTTATTGATAGAGAGCACATGATTTATGGGTTAACCACATGTCGTTCTGGAGACAAAAATCTGGTATTTAAGTCCAGGGTAGAGGGACGGGCCCATTATCCACAGAGCTTCGAATGATGCATAACTAGCCCTTGGAAAATCTTGGTTATAAAAAGGAGTTTATCTCCGTTATAGAGAACGATTCAGTCTTTCCACACACACCCCTCCCAAATCACAAAGAAAAACAAAAGACATAATTGATAAACTCCGCCTTAAGATTGAGAAGCTACGAACAATATTAGGGGAAGAAATTCCTGTAATACTCCATAACAAGAAAGCAAACTCTAACAAGCCTATTTACCTTGGAAATGAAGGGAATCCGGATTCTTGTGTAAGGCTTAATGATCTTCAGCAGCACTTGGGTTCTGACATTTCTTAAAAGATCTTCAATGTAATTTCTGATGAAGGGATCATCCATTATTGTTCTTCTATTACTCTGAAAAATATCAAGGAAATCACATTCAGAATGATAGTCAACAGTAACTATGAATTGACGGACTTATAGTAGCAATATTTTGATAGTTGCACCTTAAGAATTTTCTCAAACTCTAAGATCTCATTTCGTTGATATGCTGCTATAAGGTTAGTCATTGCCAGTATCTCAGGGTCATTTTTGTACCTGAAAAGTATAAAACACAGTCAAGCACCAACACCAATGCAATTAAGTTGATGTGCATTACTTGGTCCAGTGACTCTAACCACAGAACTGATAAAGAGTACTGGTCCTAATCTCTTTATTAAATTAGAACTCTTAAACTGCTCACGGTTTTGCTTCTTGGCCATCAAAGGGGTTAACCTCAGACTCCATCAGCATATTTGCCAGAACCAAGTACCTGTAAGATGGAACCAAGTGACCACAATATCAGGGAGAGCAATGTTTCTTCTGCGGCATGCAGGAGAGAGAAATGAAGGTGAATCAGTAAAACAATTGCCTAGGAACCATTAACAACTAAAGTGAAAAGAGATAAATATTATGTTAAACATACAACTAAGCAATTCTGACACATACCCCCTTAAACAGAAAATGTCAACGAAATCACATATGAAGCTGTACTCAGAATGCATTCAAGTGCCTGCGTCTGAAGCAGCAAAAGCGATGACCTTAAATATTTTTCTTTTAAATATCATCTTCATGAGACTTAGTAAAATACCATGTAGATTGATCTAGTAACTTTTGCAGTGTACAAGATGTTATTTCTTTCCAACTGTACTCTTCCCATCTGTTCTACCCCAGAAGAAAATGCCAAAATAAGGAAGACGGCAAACAAAACAAGCACACGATGAACCACACACATACTTTAGACACTGAATGCGCCTCTGATTCCCAGCTTCATCATAGTTCTTGAAAGCTTCAAAGAAGTCTGTAGCTGCCTCTGCCCACTGCCGCTCTGCCATATGCATTTTTCCTCCACATTCACGAATTATTCCCATTATTCTAGGGTGAGGGATTGCTGATTTGACTGAAAGTGCTTTAGTGTATAGTTCCTGAAGATAAAATACATGCTTTTTCAAGAATCTCAGTAAGCAGCAATTAGTGATGGAGAGAACAGCAATTCAAGGACAAGTAAGTATGTCGTTCCAGCATCTATGGATCCTTCTTAATGAATAAATTAGATCAAACAGATCTTCTGGACATATTCAGAATCAAAATAAAAAATGACTAAATAAAGAACAAGGGTATACCAAAAGATAAGAGGAAAGAAATAAGCTTGAAGCTTCCGAGAGAAGATCTAAATCTCCAATAAGACTTGGAACTCCATGTTGACGGATGCTTAAATGGAATAGAACTTAAGGCGGGAGTTCATCTTTGGATATTAGGGTATTAATTTATCCTCTATACAAAATTATATTTACCCTCTATATAAAATTATATAAATATTGGAAGTCTCACATCTTTTGTGGAAGTTTGATCAGCTTTTCTTTACTTTTAATACACATCATTCACTGCCTTATTGATGAAGTTTAACAACTTCAGGTTTCATAGTGGGAAAAGATTTAAAATAGGGAGTAACTTGGGGTAAAAGTAAAACATAGAATCAGGGAGTAACTTGGAATGGTAAACATCACCTGGCATTAAATATAGAGATGATTTATTTGGTCATATCAGCTGCAAAGATTCATCCTAATGGTGCACAAAACCAGTATGATATCAAACAAACAGGAGAAAAGCTAATAACATACCTTCAGTTTTTTGTTATTTTTCGTCTCCGTGTACATTTGGATCTCTATTGCATATACCTCCAACAATTGTGTACCTTTCTTCTGGTCATCAGTACCATCTTCTTTTTGACAAGATTTGTGGAGTTGTTTCAAAATCTAATTGAACGCTCAAGTTATTGGTGGGAAAACTTATACACTGACACTACAACAACAGATGCTAATCCGAAAAAGAATAATACCTTATTCATTCGTCCATACTCCCCAATGTCAAACCATATTTTGCAAAGTTTTAGATTTGTCTTGAACCACAACCTCTGTGAAAAGAAGGTGACCATGAGTCCCTTGACAAGAACACGAACTCTAGAACCTTCAAAGCCAGCCTACTATAAGAAGGAATATTGTTCTGACCTCGTTTTTTGCCTCTTCAAGGGCTTTCAATGTTGTCTGGTAGAACTCTTGTAGGAGATCAAAGTTCTGACTAGCTGATCCTGAGACGAAATCCATGATATTGTTTATACACTTTTCACTATAATTTCTTGTCACTGCTGACTTGATGTAGGTTAGCATTTCTCTGTAAGCATCCATCATTTCCTTGTACTTCCCTAGCTTATAGTAAAGCTTAACAGTTTGCTTTAAGGCTTTAAATCCCCTGAAAAACAATAAGTACAGTTGGTAAGTGTCACACACAGCCTATTCAGTGAATTTTAAAACTTGCAAGAGACCTTTGCTTACAAAGCATCAAATTACATAAAACAAGAAGCAAAGGTGTGAAATAGGACCACAACTTTTAGCCATACAATTATGAAGTTTTCTAAGAAGCATCAAATCACATGAACAAGAAGCAAATGCGGAAAATAGTAAGACACCTTTTGGATTACAATTATGAAGTGTGCACAAGTATTCTCAATGATTAATATCAAGTTACCAAATTCACGAAACAACATAAAAAGCACAAAAAGATCAAACATATCAGATCTGACAATGAACAAGAGGTCTCACCCTAAGAGCTCAGAGCAAAAGTTTCTGAATTTTTTTAAATCTCACACATGTAAACCAAATAGGAGCGAGAGACCCAAAGGGAGTAACCTGACAAACATTTCCAGTTCTTGTCAAACAATTATCTGCACTTGGAAGGTTAACATATTTTTCCACAGGCTTGTAAGAATGATAAAGTTCAATAAACTATCAGGATCTTCTCCCACATGTTCCATACAAGCATTTGCATAATGAAGAAAACACAATCTATCTCAACTTGCAGTTTCTCATAATTCATCCTCAGCTTGTTTCTCAGGCTGCATGTCAATTAATACAAGGTTGTAGTAGTTTACTTGAGACAGAAAATTAACTGCAATGAGAACATGCAGTTCTTAATGACCCTGAACTTCGAATGGACAGATCTATCACATCAGTCTCCGGCCTCACAAATCTCACAAATACACAGCCATCTATTCTCTCAAACAAACACACAAGGAGTTAGCTGATCAGTTTAACAACTACCATACCGTACAAAATTTTTATTACTATCAATTTCTTACCAATCAGCCTTCTCAGGTTCCATACGAACTACTTCAGCAAACCCCTCAAGTGCTGCCTCTGGGTCTGTTTCAGCCAAGCCTATGAATGACATAATCACAGAATATTAGTAGGAAACCATTTCCAAAGAGAAGAAAAAACGATAGGAGATATTAGTCCAAGATAAGTAGCTTAAGATGCATATATAGAAAATATCCACATAGTTGAGTTAAAGTCAACACCCTTTTTTTATAACAAAGAAATTCCCGAGTAGCAGCTGCGATTCGAAGCTCAGTAGATAAAGTCAATGCCGCTACATAGGATAAAGCATGACTTATAACTACCTTATAACCAGGGAGTAATATTGTTTTGACAACTGAGGAATTCCCAAGGATCAGCTGTTGCACGGTTTGGAACTCGGTAGATAAAATTAACACCATTACATAACATATAGCATAATCTATTACTCCCTTACAACCAAGGAGTTCTTTACAGGAGTATCTGTTGCTGCTACTGGTACAGTTTGCTTTTTCAGATTATTTAATATCTGGGTAACTTCTATGTTGGCAAGTTCTTCCCTCGCGACTGTCATCACATTCATACAAAATCTTTGGGAAATAATCGTATTATGCAAAAGATCTGTTACACATAGAGCATCACACTTCACAGGCGTCTCACACAGAAAAAGACAGGTGAGTCAAGTGAGAGAAACATCACTGCTACAATCCTCACTTTCTCTAACATTGTTTGAAAACTAAAGAAAATCGAAAATCTTGGCAACTATAAACCGACTTGGCTCTAGTAGACAACCTTATGACCGACTTGGATCTAATAGACAACCTTATGACCGACTTGGCTCTAATAGACAACCTTATGACCGACTTGACTCTAATAGATAAACTTATGGCTTTCCCTAACCTTGCTGTGCCAAAATTCGACCAATACAATCCTAGAACTTTTATAGGATAAGGGATGGATGCTCCTTTTTCAACCTTCCAACACTAAATAAATCTATGGAAGCCTTTCCCTGAGAACAAAATCACGAGGGATAAAATTCCAGAGGACAAAGAGCAGACTTGCCTTTTTTCTTTGATAACTAACTTCCCAAACTTATGTCCTATAAATTAAAGCACTACTCTCATACATAACTCAATGATACAGGTGATTAAAATAAACCATCAAAAGAAAGTTAAAAGAAGAGAAAATTAACTATCAGGATTCAAGACCCTGCAATGTCTAAAATCTACTGAGCTAATATGCCTTCTTTCCTACTTCCCTGAAGTTCCTTTTACAAATGAACATAATTAGCGGCCTACATTTCTCCTCTATATGTCCAGTTTTCACTCCCAAAAGCGCAGAAAAATCTTTGAATTGAAGCCATATCATGCAGCCGATTCAGAATCCAAACATAATAGATTGACCAAATCAAATGCCCCTTTAAGAGTGTTATGCTTTAATGAAAAAGAAGGGATCAATGTGCTTTAACCTTAAAATTTCAACCCAACATTCACCTCTGTTAATATAGTTTACAGGTAAAACTCAACAATGCAGCGTGATTGCTCGTCTCGTAGCAGACCACAAGATTTTCTTCTGTCACCTTGGAAATGATAATTAGCAATTTGGTGCTCACCCAAAAGTGTAGCCAAGACCCAAAGTGATCAATGAAGTGTGTTGAGAACCATAAGCCCCATGGTTATCCCAAAAACAAAAAGAAGGAAGATGGAGCATTAAAATTGTATTACAAAACTCTAAATTTAACTATCCAAATTATCTTATTCTCTTTAACAATTTAGTACAGTATTAATTTTTGTCCCTAATTCAAATCAAAAGAAGATTTTGACTTAATCACTTTTTCTTAGTAATTTCCAATTTCAAGTCTTCCAAATTTTCTCAAGCAACAACTGTTCTTTCTTAACAGATCTTCCTAAAAGTACTTTCATCTATGATCTAACAAATTAGTCAAGTTAACAAATTAAGACCTCTGTTCCTGTTTCCCAACTGAAACAATCAAAATGTCATCTAACTTAGTAATCAAACTTAAATTATCAAATACTACACTATAAACATTCACATACATGATGCATATTCAACACCTCAATTGTTTTCCTTAAGTTAATGTGTGAAAATTTTAATGCAAAAATTGTTCCCAATTTTTGCAAAGTTTTTTTCGAAGAGAAGTAACTAATGCAGTTCTCCTGATATTTTGTAATCCAAGTAGAGGAAGCAAAATTTAAAACAAAAGCATAAAACTTATCAGCATAATTACAACATTCAAAATTTCAAAACCTTTGGAGTTATAGTATTGGTTCTCGATGTCAACATCCTGCTCTTCAGGCTCCTCTTCTGAATACTCGAATCCATAGTCCTCCATATCTGCATCTTCAAATTTTTTTTTGAAAATACACATACATTAACATTCACAAAATCGGATTAACACTAAAAATAGCGAAGTAGGGAGAGTAAATTACCAGAGCCCATGGCTGATTAGAGAAGACTGAAAAGATTTAATGGGGAGATTTTTGAGCTGTGGATGAAGAGAGAGTTGTCGGTTTTTCTCCTTGGACTACTGTAATAGAGTCATGAATTTAAAGGGTCGGGTTAGATTACGGGTGCAAAGGTGAAAAGGATCATTTACCCCCAACTTTTGTTGCCCGTATTTAGGGGTCGTTTGGGAGCTAGTAAAAGTTGAGTAGATATTAGTAATGTAACCGCTTGTAAGATGTATAGTGTGAGTCTTACAAGGCTCATGTTAGTGTGTGTCTTCCAATCAATAATTTCACGGCATACATTATTCTATCCAAATGTTGCTCTTATGGTTTGATCTTCAATTTTTGTTGCCCTTTTAGAAAACTTTGCTCAATATTTTTGCTTTTTTGGGTTCGGACTCAACAATTTATCTCCTAATTAGTTATCAAACATGATATTATTTATGCAGAATTTAATATTTACATAACTCACATCCAAACCAGCTACCAAATGACCCTTGATATTTAGTCATAATATAAATGTTGTAAAGCCCAAACCAAAAAAACAAGTAGACTAGATCGCTTCTTCTTCTCACCTTCATCTTCCTCTCCGCAATTTTGGAGTTGCAGTTAGCGGTGAAACTAGAAATTCATATAAGAGAATTTTAAAAAATACTAGTGTTACACCAAGAAATTGAATATTAGTGTTTAAAGACAATTTTTGAACCCCGTTTATACTACACAATATTTTCTTATGTTTGTGGAATTTGACAGAGCATACATATCCAAAAGAAATTATTAATTATTTTTGCCTTAATTTGCGAACTCATGCTTTCCGAAGAAGGAGAATCACTTGGTTACCTTTCGTAGCCCGGTAGCTAAGACCCAGATAGATTACTTACTCCTCAGGAAGGGTGATAGAGGTCTCTTTAAGGACTGCAAGGTCATCCCAAGTGAAAACCTCACTACCCAACACAAGCTTTTGGTGATGGACCTGAAGATTAAGAGGGATAGGAGGAGGAAGATGATACCTGATCGACCGAGGATTAAATGGGGTGGGTTGACCCCTGCCCTTTCTCGGGAGATGGGTGAGGAGCTGATGGGGATGGGGGCTTGGAGTGGTAGCGGGGATGCGGACAACATGTGGAATAAAGCAGCTAGTTGCATTAGGGAAGTTGCTTCTAAGGTATTAGGGGTGTCAAGGGGTAAATTTGGAGGCCATAAAGGAGATTGGTGGTGGAATGGGGAAGTCCAAGGTAAAGTGGAAGCGAAGAAGGCTGCATACATAAAATTGGCGGAGTGCATAGACGAGGAAGAGAAGCGGATGCTTAAGAAAGTCTATAAGACGACAAAGACAGAAGCTAAGTTAGCTGTTACGAAGGCGAAGACGACAGCTTTCGAACGCTTGTATGTCGAGCTGGGGGACAAAGGTGGGGATAAGAAGTTGTATAGGCTCGCAAAAGCAAGAGAGAGGAAGGCGCGCGACTTGGACCAAGTGAAGTGTATCAAAGATGAGGAAGGCAAAATACTGGTGGAAGAGACCGCCATCAAGCAAAGATGGCGAAGCTACTTTCACAAACTTTTAAATGAAAAAGGGAAAGCAGACATTGTGTTGGGTGATTTGGCACACTCTGAAAGACTTCGAGATTTTGGATACTGTAGGTGCGTTAGGTCCGAGGAGGTTATACGGGCTATTAGTAGGATGAGTAGGGGAAGAGCGACCGGACCCGATGAGATTCCGGTAGAATTTTGGAAGAGCATGGACAAGGCAGGCATAGAGTGGTTAACTGGGCTGTTTAATGTTATCTTTAAGACAGCAAAAATGCCTGAAGAATGGAGGTGGAGTACAATGGTTCCGTTGTATAAAAACAAGGGTGATATCCAAAACTGTAACAACTACAGGGGTATCAAATTGTTGAGCCATACTATGAAGATTTGGGAGAGAGTGGTGGAGATGAGGGTGAGAAGAGGGGTGTCCATCTCTGAGAATCAGTTTGGATTCATGCCGGGACGTTCGACTACCGAAGCCATTCATCTTATGCGTAGACCGGTAGAAAAATATAGAGAAAAGAAGAGAAACCTACATATGGTGTTCATTGACCTTGAAAAGGCCTATGACAAAGTACCGAGGAATGTCCTCTGGAGGTGCTTGGAGTCTAAAGGAGTCCCGATGATTTATATTAGGGTGATAAAGGACATGTACGGTGGAGCCAAGACTCGGGTTAGAACAGTTGGAGGAGACTCAGAACATTTCCCAGTTGAGATGGGGCTGCATCAGGGATCAGTCCTAAGCCCTTTCCTATTTGCTTTGGTGATGGACGAGTTGACGCGGTCTATTCAGGAGAAGGTCCCATGGTGTATGTTATTTGCGGATGACATAGTACTGATTGATGAGACGCGGGACATAGTTAATGCGCGGTTGGAGGTATGGAGACAAACGCTGGAGTCCAAAGGGTTCAGGTTGAGTAGGACCAAAACAGAATATTTGGGGTGCAAATTCAGTGATGTGGTGGATGAGACAGATGTGGAAGTGAGACTTGCCACACAAATCATTCCTAAGAAGGAAAGTTTTAAGTATCTTGGGGCTGTAATCCAAGGGAGTGGTGACATCGATGATGATGTCACACATCGCATTGGGGCTGCTTGGATGAAATGGAGGCTTGCCTCTGGAGTATTGTGTGATAAGAAAATTCCACCGAAACTTAAAGGTAAGTTTTACAGAGTGGTAGTTAGACCGGCCTTGTTGTATGGAGCGGAGTGTTGGCCAGTCAAGAACGCACACGTTCATAAAATGCATGTTGCGGAGATGAGGATGTTGAGATAGATGTGTGGGCACACTAGGAGCGACAGGATTAGGAATGAGGTTATCCGGGAGAAGGTGGGAGTGGCCTCTGTGGTGGACAAGTTGAGGGAAGCGAGACTGAGATGGTTTGGACATGTGAAGAGACGGAGCGCAGACGCCCCAGTGAGGAGGTGCGAGGTAATGGTGGTAGAGGGTACGCGGAGGGGTAGAGGTAGGCCCAAGAAGTATTGGGAGGAGGTGATTAGACAAGACTTGGCTATGCTTCACATTACCGAGGACATGACTCTAGATAGGAAGGAGTGGAGGTCACGTATTAAGGTTGAAGGTTAGTAGGGTTAGCGTGTTGTCTTCCCTTGCAAGGGTATGGGTTGTTAGCGTTTGGAGTAGACCTAGCCTTATGCTGTTTACTGCGTTTCACGCATCGCATTACTTTCTTGTTGTTACTGTCTCATTTGTTGATTATACGCTATCTTTTGTATTGGCTGTTATGTTTTATATATATCTCTCCTGTCACTTAGATTTGTTGTTCTTGAGCTGAGGGTCTCCCGAAAACAGCCTCTCTACCTCCACGAGGTAGTGGCAAGGTCTGCGTACACTTTACCCTCCCCAGACCCCACCTAGTGAGATTTCACTGGGCATGTTGTTGTTGTTGTGTAATACAATTTTCTGGTCAGAAATATTTAATTAAACTCAATTGCCTTTTTACCCCGAATTACAACAATTTGGTCTAATTTTAGGTGTAGTAATTCGAAAATCATTAATGTGAAGTTTGATTGTGGCGAAAGTTTCACTAGTTTTAATTTATTGGAAAAATTATGTGATTAAGTAAATTTATACTATTTAATTAGTCATTATAACTATAATTTGTTATAATTACCACTAGCGGTTAACATTAATCATTAATTACGTGGGTTAACTTTGAGTTTGTATCATTAGTCACATTTGTATAATTCGCCACATTTGTATAATTTGCAACTAACAATTCTTTGTTTGATTTGTATTTGTATACTATAGTTTGTATTTGTATATGACAATGATTTCTTTTGGATTTTCAGTTTATCACCATATACAATCAATCTATTTGTGTATAACTTTTTAAAGTTTGTATAAACGTGTAGTTTACGGATTTTGTATAATATAATTTATATAATGTAATTTGTATAATATAATTTGTATAACTGTTTAAAGTTCATATGTTTATGTTTGTATCAATTCGTTATTTCGAGTTTTATCATATTTGTATAATTCTAGACTTTATATTACTCAATTATTCAAAAAACACGCAAATTAAACAAACGTACCCGCGAATTATACAAACGAGATGCAAATTATATAAATTATGGTCCTCTCTCTTTCACCTCTCTCCTACCTCTCTTAATTTCGCTCGCCAGATGAAAATAGAATATATTAGTGAATTTACCACTGTTAGTAAGTGTCCACCATGGTTTGTCGCATCTTCTTGCTGTTTGCTCACCCTTTGTTAACAGTGAGGTATAGTTTCTGTCTGAGCAACTCATCATTTCATTGCCCTTCCTCTAAGAAATAATTCACTTCTTCTATTGTGTCATCTCTTTGAAGATAAATTCATTTTATTGGAACTCTTACAACTAAATAAGAATTACTACATTGAAAACATAATTATTGATTGTCACCACTCACCAAATATATTTATAACTTGCCAAATTTAAAAAATCAAAGAGAATAAGTATTGAAGCAAACAAGAGAGGTGAGGAAAATTTTAGAGATACCATGGTGGAAACTGGAAACAAAAAAAATTTAAGGATTAATGAAAATTCAAAACACAACATATTGTTCTTAATCAATTATTAACACAATTCACAAATATCTATTAGAATATGATAATCACTGTTTTGTTGATGAACCCATTGTGTGACATTCGAACAGGGTTACAAAAGCTTGAAAATGTGTCAAATTTAGACAAATGAAAATAAGGAAATTGTTTATACATATTTGATGGTTGGTCAAATAATTATGTTATCAGATATGGTATAGATTAACTCAATCTCCTAAGTGAGGTCTGAAGAGAGTAAAGAGTATACAAAACTTACCTTGAATAGATAGAAAGATTGTTAAATTATTTTTCTAGTACACACTCTACCAAATGATCCCTATGACTATGAGATTACGATAATATTTCTATCTATTCAAGGTATGAGTAAGTTTTGTGTACGCTTTACTCTTCCCAGACCCTACATACAAGATTGAGTTAATCATATCATATTTGATT